AAGACGTATATAACCATTTTATGATGGCGACAAACGCAACCGTATTGCGAAATTTCAAAAGGAGACTCTACAGTCTTAAAGGAAATTTCTGCAACCACTGTTGATGTTGCCATAAGTGGTGATTTTCAAGTCCACCAAAGCTAAAAGGAAAGGTATCGACCAGGCAGTGTTCTTATATTTATTGAATGTTTGCCGTAAGGGAAGTATATAAATGAAATTTAACTCTGACACTGTCTGGCTTTTCTTAACTCGCAGCTATAAAGAAAGAGAAGGCTTTAATGGCAGCTGTAGCCAAATCGTCCGCTAGGGCCAACATATTCATTGGATCAAAACAGTCCAAATATTTATAAACCCCACGCTCTTGCTTCAATGGATTCAGCAGGAAGTGCAGCTTAGTTTCATCTCCCGGTCATACGTATTAAGCTTAGATTACTACCACGTTGTGAGAATTGCAGGAAACGATAAGAAGATTTGTGGATAATTAACACCATTGAATAAAATACCGTCTACTAGCATATGCATCTCGATCTTCAATTAGTATAAAGAGAAACGTCTTGTGGGGCTGTAATGATGATTGTAATGATAGAGATTGGTGTGTCTATCTCAGTTGTGTGTTATTACTGTGGCTATACAGACAGACAGACAGTATTTATTCAGTAAAGAGGCCCTCGCCCATAATACAATCAGACTGACAATGTGTTTAGTGGGTGCGCAAAACAACTTTGCAGCTCTGTGTCCTGGGGTTTATCAATTTCTGTACATGGTATAAGTATAGGCCAACATTTTATATGACAGCATCATTTTTGCTTTGCAAAAGATTTACGACAGAGTAATGAGTAAGTGGTTCTTTAGTTAACTTTGTTATATATTTCTTTCTAAGTATATCATAGGCATTACAAATAAATAGTACATGATATTGAGTGGATTTTGAGTGGATTTTGGTGTTATTGGTGAACAAACAAACTTTTTGAAATTAAACGTGTTTGCACCGGGCGTTATACTACTTCCGGTTAGATGTATTGGGCCGTTGTTCCTTATCTCCAATGTTTAACACTTTGGTTGCCCTTTCTGTAACATATAATAGCTGTTTTGAATGGTCACTAATTTCAGACTTTCCATGCGCTATGTGAATCGATTTAATTCCTTTCTAAGAATGTGCCCAAATAGTAATAACTTTAAATTCAGTTAGACTGCAAATGATTGCATTGTATAGTTTGAGATTGCCTTGGGTTGTGCGGGTTGTCCAGTTATATATATCTGACTTGACTTAGCTGTTTGGAAAGATTGTTCTGAAATGAGAGGTTTTTTAAGCCAGTGACTGCTACTGTGATCAGTATTCGGTGGGCAGGCAGCACTGGCTACGTTACTGCACGACAATCACACAATTCACGGTAGTCGAGCAACATTGTATGAATGCTTCACTCGTAATTTCTACAGCATCGCACACTATGTCTCACTTCCTTAACCAACAGCGCTAAAGACCTTAATGACGCAAGTCTAAATTTCCACAGGGTCTGATCTCACTGGGGCCCGTTTTAATTTAGAAAATATTTGTTTCTGTCAAAATTATACACTATTACTACCAGTGGGGCGGTGTGGTGGCCTAGTGGTTAAAGAAATTGCTCGCCACGCTGAAGACGTCGCTGAATATTGCTAAAAGCAGCATATATTTACACACACACACACACGCGTGCACGCATGCACGCACGCACACACACACAGCGCTGTTTCCATTTCCTGAACATTTTCGGGGTCCTACTAAATATTAGGATCTGTCGCTTTCCCTGTAAAGACGCAACTCTCGTTTCGGTGTTGAACAGGGGCAGAAGCTCAACCTCTGTAATCAAATCCTAACTTGCCAAGGGAGGTGACCCCTCAGTGCTGCTTGAGTTGAAGTGGTTATCATACGTGTTGCGTCTGGTGGGACCGTGTACTGCTTACCTGTAACATATTCAGCGACGCAGGTTCAAACTTACCCTCCCAGTTTAGTAGGTCGAGAGCGATGCATAGTCTCTGTGAGCTTTTGTTACACTTTCATGGAAATTGTCAGTATAACTGTACATTATAGAATACATGCTATGCAAGGATTACTGAACTGCCGAGAAGAGTGAGTGAGTAAGTATGGTTTTACGCCGCATTTTGCAATATTCCAGCAATATCACAGCGGGGGACACCAGAAATGGGCTTCACACATTTGTACATTTGTATTAGATGGGGAATCGAACCCGGGCCTTCAGAGTGACGAGCAAACGCTTTCACCACTAGGTTACCCCACCGCCCGGGCAAAAGAGTACACTCCCATGTTTGATGGTGATAAAAGGTAACACAAAACACAAACGGTATTAACTACGGAGATTATAATTGTGTTCTTGTAGTTTACGAGTGTTTTTTGTGAGGTAATATGTGAACCTTTGTAACATGCTGTTCAAATCTAATTGCCTTCTGTTTATCTTCATATTCCGTCATTTTAGTGGGTAAGCGAGAATACTACACGAACAGGAACAGGAACAAAGAATGAGTGTGTCACTCGACGCCATCCTGTCGACCAAATGTCAAGACAGTAAAAACAATGCTTACACAAACACATACATCAACATACATACACATACATCTTAATAAATCAATGTTGGCCTTGACGCAAACAAGTTATATATAGTATAAAAAATAAATGTATATTTGGGTATTTTTGCTTCACAAGGCTACCCTGCATAATTCAACCAGGTAGATTCGTAATTTGATCTGATTTGGGAAATAATTAGAATATTTTCTTTAATCACGGTTTGAACAGAAATATATTGTGGACTTCAGGTTTATAAAATTGACAGGTAAGAGACTTCTGTAGCTGAAAGGGCGTTGTTGGCGTTGGCGCTTCATATTAATATATCATGATTCTCTTGATGTGTATCACACTTGCATGCATACACGCATGATGGATATTCTGGTTTTATGGATGATAAACTGCCGGGATCTGAAAAAAACTCCAGCAATACGCACTCTGCGTTTTACGAGAATATATTAAATGCTAGACAACCGAGCCTTGAAGGCGGTACTCTTGACAGAGGACCTTAACAACATCACGTGTGTGAATTATGATATAAACTCAAATCGCATGTATATTTAATCGCAGTGAATATTTTCTCTGCTTAGTCGCTCCACTAGTAGTATTACTGTTAATATGTGATCAGAGTTATTTGAAAACCATGTTAATATGTGATCAGAGTTATTTGAAAACTATGTTAATATGTGATCAGAGTTATTTGAAAACCATGTTAATATGTGATCAGAGTTATTTGAAAACCATGTTAATATGTGATCAGAGTTATTTGAAAACCATGTTAATATGTGATCAGAGTTATTTGAAAACTATGTTAATATGTGATCAGAGTTATTTGAAAACCATGTTAATATGTGATCAGAGTTATTTGAAAACTATGTTGTTATATGAACCAGTTTCTGTTCTTTGCACTATTTCTACGTATATTATTACTGCTATCAAACTTTTGCAAGTTTCCTTGCATTTGAACTGGCATATACACATGATTTAAGCATAATCCACCGACCTGACTTTATTTGTAGATATTGAGGTGCTGTTTCGTGGAATGGAATGTATACAAACACGGTGTTTTTCCTTTACTATATGAGTGGGTGAGTTTAGTTTTACACCACTTTTTGCAATATTCCAGCAATATCACGGCGGGGGACACCAGAAATGGGCCTCACAAAGTGTACCCATGTGGGGAATCGAACCCGGGTCTTCATCGTGACGAGCGAACGCTTTAACCACTAAGCTACCCCACTGCTCCCTTACTATGTGAGATTACAATGGATACTTAATTGAAGTATTCAAGTTGAATGTGAACACAATAACTGTATTAAGCATACTGTGTAGACACACAGACACGCGCACACGCACACGCACGTGTCGTTTGGTATGCTACAAGAATTGAACATCCTGCCTTCGTTTGGTATGCTAATCAGTTCCTCGTGGACCTCCTGCCATTCTCAACAAATGTTGCCAGTGTCAAATGTAAAATAGACAAATGTATTTAGTAAAAGCTGTTCCCCAGGGATACTTCCTCCAGAGTAATTTGGTATAAAAGAACGATTTCACTGAAGAAACAGACACCCTGTTACACAGGCAGATGTTACACGCACATCACGAGGCTCCTGAAGTGAGAGATCAATGTATATAACCTCAGCGCCAGACAATAATCACTCTCGATCATCTGCCGATATACTAGTAACCAGTTCTGGCAAATGGCAAAGCAGAGGTGAAAATTGTATAGATGATTCACTAAAAATTAGCGAGATAACACCAGGTGTTCTGACCTACCTAAAGCACATTTAGTTGGGTGGTTGATCTGTTGTTTAACGCCGCACTCCGCAATATTTATATTCCTGCTATATGGCGGCGATCTATAAATAATCGAGTCTGGACCAGTGATCGACAGCATGAGCATCGATCTACACAATTGGGATACGATGACATGTGTCAACCAAGTCAGTGAGCCTGACCACTCATTTCCAATAGTTGCCTTTTACGAGAAGCATGGGTTACTGGAGACCAATTTTAACCCGAATCTCTCACGGGTACACACGTTTAGCATAAAACAGAGTTTGTTGCCTTAGGCAGCACAACGACAACGACATCGACATCGACATTTACCTGTTAAGGATTAAATCTCGATCGGACAATCAAGTGATTGAACAGACAACCCAGTGAGGCAGAAGCCTTTATGGTCCTGTTGAAACTAAACGCGATATTTCATCCCAACCATAGAGACAGGTAAAACTGGTTAGGTAAGTTAACATCAATCGCATGTAAAACCAACACAGGTCATACATCTAAGCATCAACGTGTTTACTTCTAACGATGCGGAAATATGTCGAGACATTTTACTCACCACATACCATGTAACACTGCCGCTAGGTGACGGCCTACATTGTCGTGACGTGGTGTGCATGACATATAGTCGCCGAGCATGACCGTCGTGCGATACAGCTGGAGACAGTGACCAGGTCACAGTCTGTTGCCTTGTTTGAAGATCACCCCTGTCTTGTTATATTGCCTGTCTCGGCACACAGATGGGTTACCCTAAGCTGTTTAATATGTTTATCTTTGATATCAGTGGATAACAGCCGACGGACAGATGACGGGGAAGGTGCAGCTGTGGAGGTCGTCTCTATGTGGACACAACACTGGGTGAGTTGAACATATTGTGAGTAAAGTCTAACGCTATTTTTTAAATTATCCCACCAAGTTCACAATCAGGGAGACCAAAAATGGGCGTCTCAATTGGTACCTTTGTGGTGAATTGTACCCATGTCTTCGGCGTGATGATCGAATTCTTTCTACCCCTCCGACTCTCTTTAAACACTACCATACTATATATTCAGAAGTCTTGATACTATGTTATACCGTACAGACTTGGCTCTGTGAGCGTTAAGGTTAGTGGGGCGGTGGGGTAGTCTAGTGGTTAAAGCGTTGGCTCGTCACGCCGAAGACCCGGGTTCGAATCCCCACATGGGTACAATGAGTGAAGCCCATTTCTGGTGTCTCCCGCCGTGATATTGCTGGAATATTGCTAAAAGCGGCGTAAAACCAAACTCAGTCAGTCAGTCAGTCAGTCAGTTAAGGTTAGTTTGGTTGGTTGTGTGTTGTTTATAAACATTTGGTTGGTTGTGTGGTTATTTGGCTGGTCGGTTATGTGTTTGGTTACTTACTTGTGTGGTCGGTTATGTGTTTGGTTGTATAGTTGTGTGGTTGTTTGCTGTGTGGTTGGTTGTTTGGTTATGTGGTTGTTTGTATGATTGTTTGTTTGGTTGTTTGACTGAGGGTTGTTATTAGTCTGGTTGGTTGTGTGGTTATTTGGCTGGTCGGTTGTGTGTTCGGTTACTTACTTGTGTGGTTGTTTGGTTGTGTGCTGGTTGTCTGGTCGTTTGGTTGTGTGGTTGTGTGGGTGGCCGCTTGGTTGTATGATCGTTTGATGGTTGTTTCGCTGTTTGTTACGTTGTGTGAAACCAACCATATGTTACAGTCAGCTGTTGTGACTTGTGATGGAAAAGAAATCAAGAATAACCATGTCAATACATTCGTGAAATTAACTTTATGTTATAGTCAGCTGTTGTTGTCACTTGTGATGGAACGGAAATCAAGAACAACCACGGTCAATATAAACCTGAAAACAACAATATGTTGTAGTCAGCTGTTGTTACGACTTGTGACCGAAATTGACGAAAATTGTTCGGAAGCTTGTTCGGAATTCATAGTTTCCTGATTTGTAACACGTAATATTAAATTTCTCTTTCACAAATTTTCTTAAGTAAAGCTCAGGTCGTGGTATGTACAAGTATGCGCGTTATAACGGGGTTGATGGTAAGCTGACAGAAACTAGTTGCGCCTTCCATACTTCCGCTTACAGCGTTTGTAACACACACATGCCATTACATGCAGACACGCAGTTGGAGCTGACGATTGTTGTGTACAACATGCGGTGAAGTGTGTTCGTGTTCAGATGCACGGCATTCAGTGACGGTACAATTGTAGTGACTGCTTAAATATTTTACGACGCATCAACGACTATTTATCTACTCCCCACATCAACGGAGAGAGAGACTGACTGACTGAGTTTTGGTTTTACGCCGCTTTGAGCAATATTCCAGCAACATCACGGCGGGGGACACCAGAAATGGGCTTCACACATTGTACCCATGTGGGAGAGAGAGAGAGGATGAGAGAGATGGAGAGAGAGGACGAGAGAGATAGATAGAGAGAGAGAAAGAGGGAGGGAGAGAGCGGGAGAGATAGATAGAGAGAGTGAGAGATAGAGAGAGAGTGAGAGAGAGAGTGAGTAAGTGAAAGAGAGAATCCTGTCTCTCAGTCGGAGAAACGCAAGACACAAAGCTAATCTCTCCTCCCTCTCTCTCCAGGTATGCCAGGAATGTTTTACTTAATTTATTAATCGAAAGACAAAAACATTAAAATCTGTAACAGTTATTAGCCAACACAATATAACGTGTATAAACATATATTTGAGTGTGAGTGAATTTTACGCCGCTTTTATTCCAGCAATTTCACGGCGGGGGACACAAGAAATGGTATTAACATAAATGATGATATACACAATAGTAGATGAATTGACATGATGGAACATTGCTGACGTCACGATGCTGTTTTCAGATACCCGCACCACCCAGGCCATATGAACACTGGGGTGAAGACGCTGTTGGTGCTGGTCACCTTCTGGATGACGTGTCTTGTCTGGTATCTATGTAAACAAGGTGCAACACATTATACCGTTTAACATTTGACGTGTACTGAGAAATGAAAAACTTCCAAATTAGAAGTTATCACATTGTTGAATCGTGGAATAACAGAATACCTCGATAAAAAGTGAATTGTATGCGAACAATTGGATTGTTTGTCGAGATATTATTAGAAGGCCTGACTTTTCAAAATCACACTGCTTCTTTGAGAGCAGTCGGGCTCTGGGGTAGCCTGGTGGTTAAAGCTTTCGCTCGTTACATTCCGGGTCAATTCCCCACATAGGCATAATGTCTGAAGTCCATTTCTCGTATCCCCCGCCACGATACTGTTTGAACATTGCTACTAATTCATTCATAGCAAGCACAAATACAGTGCCGCTTGACAGAGGTACGAATGGAACCACAGCTTCACGCCACAAAATTTCTCCATTTTCATAATTTGACAAACACATACAGTTTTTCAGGTGGAGTCAACCCTGCGTGGTTCCAATAAATATGTTTTCTGCTGTTAATGCAGTTTGTTTTCAAAACGTATGGCCCAAAGCCCATTTGAAACCAAAGATTGCGTTTCGGCAGTCAAATGTCCTGCAACGTTGGGTGTTCGAACCAAGCCACCTTAGTGTAAAATTACAGAATTATTCCGACAATTCTGGCTGAAAGTGCTGTGAAAGTTGAAATTATCGTTGCTTAACCTTGCGCCATCGCCATTAATACAGTTTCTTCCATTTGTATGATAGAGCACTGTAGTAGTTTAAGCGTTTGTTCGTCGCGACAATGGCCAGTGTATGATTCCTTAACGGGTACAGAGAATGTAGCCCATCTCAGGTGTTCCCCGCCGTGATACTGTTGCAATATTACTTAAAACTCACTCACTCACTCACTCACTCACTCACGTCATGCTTCTTTCAGGACATATTTCCATTGAGATCCACAGCAGCCATCAGAAAGGGAAAGATCTGACGTTCTTTGCTAGCGTCATCATGCAGCAACATTACAACGACGGCAAACTTATTATAGACGCTTCAGATTTAGTCGGCCGCATTGACCACCCTGACGTCACACCGCCGCACGATGTCAGAGATGACGTTGGCAGAGACGACCACCCAGACATCACAGCCCCACCCAGTAACGATGGCAACGATGCCGTAGGTAAAATAAACGGAGATGCAAGTCTTCATCAAAGTTAACTTATTGAACAGAGCAATCAGCAATCGTTATATAGAAAAATGAACCTCCCCAAATATGTGCATTACCGTTAGGTGACCCTCACCTCTCTGACAACTCAGTCCAATGACAAATGACCGGTCACCTAGGTCAACCGACCTGTAAATCACATAACATGTGCTAACATTGGTCATCCAGTGGCTTATACCTTGGTCATCACAAGTTCACAAGGGTCGTCCTGGTTTTTTCTAAATGTACACAAGCTCTGTATTCTTACCCTATGTCGAAATATTGACATTGATTGGTTCACGTCCTTTTTAAAAGACACTTTATTGAGGAAACTGGCTATGGACGTTCCTGAGCTACCAGGTATATTTAATAATGTTTCAATCACTAAACACGTTCAAAGCAATGGTAAATCCAATCGCAATATAGACCGCCTCCATGTTGTGTAGTGGTTAGAGCGTCCGCCCGGAGAGCGGAAGGTCGCGGGTTCGATCCCCGACCGCGTCATACGAAAAGACGTTAAAATATGGTACTTGTTGGTCCCTGCCTGGCGCTCGGCATTAATGGGTACAACAAGGACTGGTTGGCTCGGAGTCAGTATAATGTGTCTGAGTGGGGTATTCATGCTTCACTGCGGCATGGTATCTCAGTGGGCTAGCACTATAAAACCTGCTCAAGTCTGGGCTAGGACAAACATCCGCACATACACATTACACACTCATGCACGTCGTCATATGAGCGAAATATTCTCAAGCACGACGTTAAACCCAATTTCACCTCACCCAATCGCAATATTTGTCCCCCAAATGGTGCCTTCTATACCCTTCTACACATGACACCGCCGCCGTGTGTCCCTTCCTTGATTCCATACTCACCATACCACCATGGCTTTAAACGCCAAAAGAATGACGATGGGTGTCCTACTCTGATATATTTATAAGCATGACCTATATATATCTTATATATTATATATATAGGTCATGCTTATAAATACATCAGAGTCGGGCGCCTATGGTCCTAACGGCTGGCAATTCATCATGTTTGGGTGGTGTTTGTGTAAACGATCAGTTAAAGATAGTTAGGAGTTATGTTGAGCTTCTGAAGACATTATTTCCCTAAGTACGGCTTTGATTAGCGTCATCAATGTCTCATGTAGATAAATGTATTAGCAAGGATGAGCGTGTAGGTGTTTATGGGTATTCACAGCAAACCCTCTTGAATTCGTGGTGAACAATTAGCGAGTTGATCTCGTTAAATCCCTTTTCTTGTATATCAAACAGTTATCTATATAAACTGAGGGGCAAAAGAAACGCTGGCTTCTAATTTTCTTATCCAATAAACACATATGACAAAGTATGGCAACAGATATCATTGTATTTCACAGACACAACAATTAACATCAGGTTGACCGACTTTAACAACCACATGATGACATTGTAAAGAATACTAAGCATTCTTGTAACAGGTGTTGAATTGTCCATAATTCGTTCACATTCCATTTCATGTTATCATCACACAAATCAGTTAAAGTCACATTTCGTCATCAGTAGCGAGTGTGTCCACCTCTAGCAAGTATGCAGTCCCTGACACGACGTCGGGCAGACGTTACCAGTCTCCTCACAATGGCTGGAGTGATGTGACGCCACTCTTCTTGCAGTGCCTGTGTCAACGTCTGTCTGTCATGTGGACGTTGCTGACGTTGCCGAATCCGTCTCCCAAGATGGTCCCAGAGGTGTTCTATGGGATTCATGTCAGGGGATCTGGCTGGCCACGGAAGAACTTGTATGTTGTTGACATTGAAATATTCTCTGGTAACACACGTGCAGTGTGTGGAGCGGCGTTATTCTGTTGGAACAGTGTTCTTGGGTTATTCTGCAGGAATGGAAGCACGACTGGTGTCAATACCTGGTTGATGTAGCGGTCAGCGTTGAGGGTACCATTTATAACCACCAGGTCGGTCTTAGTGTCACCACAAATACCACCCCAGATCATCACACCACCGCCGCCATGTGGATGTACTTCTTGGACGTAGCAACGTGACGTTCGTTCGCCTCTACGCCGGTAAATCGCACTCGGCCGTCAGCACTGTAAAGCTGGAACCTGCTTTCATCCGTAAACAGCACTCTGTCCCAATGTCGTCTTTGCCAGCGTTGCACAATACGAGCCCACCTCAACCTGTTGAGCCGATGTTGCCGGGTCAAGGTCATTCCTCTAAAGGGCCGGTAAGCTCTCAAACCAAAATGGCGGAGACGTTGGGCTACAGTCCTCCAGCTGAAGGGGTGTTGTAAAGAATCACGTGCTGATGACGTCACAGTGAGGAACCTGTTACGTAAGTGCAGCAGACGAAGATTGCGGTTTTCGTTGGCCGTGGTCACCCGTGGTTTTCCACTTCGTGGTCTGTCTGATGTCCGACCAGTCTCTCTGAGACGTTTTACCAGCCTCTCAATTGTGGTTTTGTGGCAACCCATGATTTGTGCAACTCTGGCCTGAGTTGCCCCCATCTGCAACATCCCTATCGCTCTCTCTCGCTGGTTAGACGTCAAACGTGGCATTCTTGTTGGTAAAATCTAAACGATTCAATGCCAAGGAAGGATTCTGGGCATGATTTATACCCGATCCTTGCACAGAATTTTCCTTATGCATTTTCTCGAAAAAACCCGAACAACCCATATTTCACAGAAAAATCGTGATTCACCACGAGGCCAAAGCAATGGCTGTTGCGTTTGGAAGAATGTTTTTATATTGTCTCCTACAATGATTTTAGGTGTGGATTAAAATTGTGTCAACGTTTATAAAACCAGCGTTTCTTTTGCCCCTGAGTTTATTTGTATTACCGAGCTGATGTTTTCTTGCGTTATAGGCCCCTGTGTCCATACTATCAGAGCGGTCTTTCATGCAGCTCAATGTTAGCCCAGCACAAAACTTATATTACACATATCTTTATATCACTTTCTCAATTTCGCACGTCTATTCTTCAAGCAAATATGCTAGGTATGTAACTGATATTTGGAGTAACATAGGGCCAGTCTGGTTCTGAAGCCCCAGATCTAAATGGTATATTTTATGACCGCTTCATTCAATATATGCGTTGACGTGCGTGAGCTATCTAACATCTACGAATAAATTACTGGTTCTGACTGGAGTTCAGTTATTCAAGGCTTTTAATACACCCTAAATTCTGAACTCTGACCTCGTGGCTCTACCCGGCCTCCTCCTAAACCCCCACCCATCCCTCTAAGAACCACTCTGTAACCCGCATCCACCCACCTCATAAGCTTAAAGTTCAGATTTCGGAATTCGTTCAGTTCATGCACAGATTTCATGAAATGTTAAAATGCTGCAATTTTCTTTTGTTATTATTACAGATCAAAGGTTGAAGTAAGACGGGGAACGATTGTGGTCATAGTTCTATCTGAACCATCAATATTCTCAGACACGAAGTCAGGGCACGTGACAGTCGAGTAAGGAATTTGCGAGCCTGTTTAACACGAGACAACCCAGACAAACAATTGGCATGATGTTGGCGATAACGTGTGAAAGTTCGAAACTCGTGAACAGTATTGGTTTTGACACACCACTGTTGTGCATGCCCACAACACGCATTGAAGACGCCAGGAGGAAACCCAAGCTGAATTCGGTTCAATATTGTACAGTGTGTATAATCTGTTCAGCATCTTCAATGGAGTGAGTGAGTGAGTTTAGTTTTACACCGCACTCAGCAATATTCCAGCTATATGGCAGCGGTCTGTAAATAATCGAGTCAGGACCAGACAATCCAGTAATCAACAACATGAGCATCGTTCTGCGCAATTGGGAACCGATGACATGTGTCAACCAAGTCAGCGAGCCTGACCACCCGATCCCGTTAGTCGCCTCTTACGACAAGCATGGGTTACTGAAGGCCAATATTCTAACCCGGACCTTCACGGGTTCTTCAATGGAAATGGAAATGCACGTTTGAAGAATATATTTTGAATCAGACTTCAGACTTCGTGAAAAATATGACGAACTGTCTATGGTGCTCGATGGAAGGTTAAGCGTTCTTCCAAATACGAACGGTCAGGGCACAGCCTTAATGAGAAGCGATACTATTTTGTTTTGTTTTTCTATTTCAACACATTACGGCCACAGGCCCTTTGTCTATGATGATACGGTCACGATCCCAGTGACAATAAAACGGCTCGATACTGAAAATCAAACGTCTGTTTGAAACGATAGGAGAGTATCACATGTATGGGTATATCTGTGTTGTACATGATCACACGCTGCAGACACAAGCAGATAATGAAACTCGTCAACATTTAAATTGTACGATATCTCTCGTTACGGTGAATTCTTTTCTGCAAATATCACGTTCAAACCGTCTAAATCGAGACACGCATGTGCTAAAGGTACATTATGTTATTCAAGTTAAATATTTGTCACAGTTTTAAGTTGTCTTGAATTGGGAATTTGTATGTTTGATTGTTGTTTAACGCCTGTCTCGGCAATAATTTACTTACATGACGACGGCCTGTAACTACTAGAGTCAGGATCACACAATCCAGTGATTGACTTTATGAGCATCGATCTACACAATTGGGATAGATATATGAGGGTAGATATTCCTTTGATACATATGTAGAACTCTCTTTAAGAACAATGTACAAGTATATCATGACAATAATGTGCTTGAACTTAAAAGCTTGTCACTGATAGCATACGAGAAATATCTTCCTTATGTGACAGTGTACCTAACAGTAACAATATAACCGTAAACGAAAATGACGGTGTCTTTGTAGGACGTCGACGTCGGATTAGAATATATTTTTTCTATATAAGTTTCTTCCCACCACCAGTGCTAAATGTTTAGCCGCAGATTGTTCTGTTTCTAAATCTTGTATTAAACATTTACTTTACCACAAAGGATTCCAAATTCTTCGCTGCATCTGTAACCAAGGGGACAACCACATTTATCCAGAAGTTCAAATGAGAATTACATAGAAATATGAACTGGATTGGTGAACAAGTAATAAGTTATGTGGATCCGGATTAGGTCTATTTAGGTGTAGATGTGTGCTGTATGTCCTGGTTGTTTCACAGGTATGAATTCTCCATAGAGCGACATCATCTTCACACAGTCGACCAATTCAGCACACATGTACGAGTATAAACCAATGTGTAATGGTGACTTAAAGGAAACAAGCAAGAAATGGTTATTCGATGGTGATTTATTTGTTAGGGGGTATCAAAGTTGTGTTTTGGACCTTGAGTGTGCAGTGTTTCGGTGAATTATTTCAACCTAGTAACCTTTCTACTACGTATTTAATTGTTTCGTCTAATTCAGTTCTTAAGTGTATACTTCCTTGCCCGTCCGTCATCTTCGAAGTCTAGATACACGCAGACATTGCGGAGGAATGACTCATGGTGGGAGAGAAGTATCGGAGACCCAGAATACGATGTGGCACACATCGGCCAAGGGTTCGACCCTTCAAAGGCCTCATTGCAATAGTGTGTCAACTGCTGTGGCCCAGTCTAGGGGAAAAGACAATGACTTGCACTTGAACTCCCATCGGCGGCAAACATCCCAGACAGCGACCGGGACAGCGATTAGAACTCGGAGACACATTTAAAGACGTTTATTTATAGGCTAATCTCTTGCAATGATTTAGCCTGAGGCTTATTATGACCTTCCGCGCATCGGATGACAACTGTCCCCGCTGTACTGGGGTCGCAGGGTGAGATCAGTAAAGCAATAGATGTAAAGGTTAACACAGATTTCATTCCTATACCTTCAGGTGTCATTCTACAGACGTTTTTAGTGTATTAAAGCAACTGTTGTATGTTGTTGACTCTATACAGGGATATGGACGTTGTTTGTTGTTTGTTGTTTAACGAGGACCTTCAGTTACCAAAGGAAACGCAGTTGGCTGAATTGCGTCCCTTGGCTGTTCCAGGATCCGCTGTGTTCTTGGTATTGGTTTGGTTTACGGTCAGTGTGACGTCGGGTTGTATATCATATATGGTTGCCAGTGTTATATTGATGGCCCCTTTTAAAACCTTATCACTCACGTTAATATGTTGCCAATATAAAGATGGGAATTAGTCTGACAATAACCTGGAACCATTCGCTTTGGCATATTCACCTATTGGATACTATTTACATCCTAGAGTGATCACACGGCGTTATCAGATTCACAATTTCAAAACGCATGCACAGAAATGATTTCACACCTTTTCAAATTCCTCACGTCTTTTCAGTTCCTATGATTCTAAAACAAATTCACAGCCAACAACATGTTTTGACAGATGGGTGAGGGGGTTGGATTGAAGTGGGGGTGAGGGGTTGGATTGAGGCACTTGACGTAATTGCCTTAGTTGTACAGTGTTATGTTCCCTAGACGTACACATCCATATGATTGATCTTAACTATGTTTCCGGGTTTGTCAGCACTATGTCAATGCTTGTGGGCGTCTTGAACAGTGGTTAAGTCAATGTATCACTCTGCTTCACAATGGAACTTATAACATTCACGATGTTTACTGGCACTTCATACATCAACGTGCAAGCAACACCCGTTAGCTCTTACCTGAATACCTTTTGGAAATATGTTCGCGCGTTTCCATTTTTTTGGACTGGGTTCGGGCTCTGAGTCTATTTACTTCTAATTACTGATCATACTTTGTATTTGGGTTTAAAGAAGTAACCAGTGATCGATATAAGCAAGTCAATTTGTAAGTATTGTGACCGTGAAAAATGTCGAGTTGTCACCTTCACGACCCCAGAAAAATATGTTGAAATGCGATACTTTTCCTTGACAATTCTGTCTTGTCTTTATGTGGGCGACAGTGCAACAAAGGGACAATGTCCTTTCTTAGGTTCCTTTCCAAACGGATTATCTTGTGGCGTAAAACATGAGACATCCTTCACCATTGAGTGAGTGAGTGAGTCATTGAGTGAGTGAGTGAGTGTGTGATATTCCAGCAATACCAGGAACACCTGCGATGACTTCAGACATTGTACCCATGTAGAGAATCAAACACGGGCCATCGTCGGGACAAACGACAGCTTCAACTGCTCTATCATGCAAGTTGAAGAAGCTGTTTTAAGGGACCACTCATAATTAATGGCTGCTGCTGATTGTCTTGGAGACGCATGTACAATGTGATTGACACAACCCCTCCTAAAATTTATGTACAAAGTAAGTGACCCCGCCTGCATGTCATGTACAAAATCGAACGAACGACGAACGAATGCTTCAGCTGCTTTATCAGACAGGTTGAAGAGCGAGTGAGAAATATCACATAATGATCTTCATACGTTGTACCCATGTCGGGAATCAAACACGGGGCATCGTCGCGACGAACGAACGCTTCAACTACTACACTGACCGACTGCTCTATGGTTTGTGAGCGAGTGAGTGAACATAGTTTGAACAATATTCAACCACTATGACGGCGGGAGACACCAGATTCACCCAATGTAACCACGTATGGAATTGAACTTTGATCATCGCCGTGACGAGTAAACTCTTTCACCAATGAGACACCAGTAAAAGCGATGCCTATTCTGTTGATCACTGGATTGTCTGGTCCGGGCTCCGTTATTTACAGATCGCCACCATATAGCTGGAACATTGCTGAGTGCGGCGTTGAACAACAAACAAACAAAACACAGTCTGCTAAAAAAGTAAGGGCTAGTTTGTTGCCTAAACATTATTCAGCACCAAAGGTGGTCACACAGCGTAATAGGCTTTTGTTATTCCCTTTCAGCATCTTATAAATATCTTCTCTTTATTCTCTTCTCTCTATTCTAGCAGCACAGTGGATTTTATAATGTTCAAACCCTTCAAACGTTTCAACATAACGACACTGAAATAAAGAATTACCTCCCCTGGTCCGCAGATTCGTGCGTAATTCTTGTAGACGTTTCACATTCCAACATGTACGTGTTTCTCAAGCAACACAGGCAAGGAACATGAGCGTTTATAAGTAACGCTCAACCCTTCTTGTATCACCAACACAATCTCCGCAGCAGCCATTATTTGTCTTGTCCTTTCTTCTTATTGGATTTTCCCCACGCTAATGGGCTATTGTCACACAATAATAGGTTTAATATCCTAACAGTGCATTCAGGATTATTTGTAAACTGAAGCGTCTCTCCCAACCAGAGTTGTACTTTAGTGAAGCAATAAAGTAAATGGACCAAATTAATCTTTTCTTAATCTATTAATGTCGCCTCTTTAGCATCTTATTTAGCTGATAAGGAAGATATCTGTTTAATCAAAGTGATTGAAGGTATATATATAACTTTAATTATCTCATCATTTACCAATTAGGGTTTGAATAAAAATGTGAAAGAGCTCGTTTGGTCGATACCCGATGTATGTTAAATTTAAAAAAAGAATTTTCGCATAAAATGGTAACAAACACCCGCCTAGCCAAACTATCATATAATATCTATTCTATCATGTTGCAAGTTAGTTTCGAAATTAATGTATTTCCCTGGACTGAATTTGTAAGAAAGACGCTAAATGACTGTGGTTTAACTGAAATATTTTTTAATCCATTTCTCTGTACAACTAAGTTTAAGATCCTCAAAGATCCTCAAGACCAATTTCTACAGAAATGGCACACCTCCATGATACAGAGCTCCAAATCCTCTGTTTATCGTATCTTAAAAAACAATATAGAGTTTGAGAGATATCTCTTTCTACCAAAACATATCTGTTTCCGATTTTAACTTTCATAACAAGTAATCACCACCT